AGCAGCAAATTGAAATGGCTGACTGGAATCTGAATCGCGTGACTAAAGCAGAGCTGAGTCTAGAAGCTACAATCTCTATATATAAGTTGATCCACATCACCATGCTCGCCTGTAGTCATGAATCGTGGGCAATGTCTGAAACACTTAGATGTTGGGTATTAACGGCTGGGTCACACGTCTGGAGTTCAGGTAACTATAACTGCCCCTGTGATGAGAAGCACAGATGAGAAGTGCAGTTGTGATGATCTGAACAAGTATCGTGAATGCTTTAAAAAACGAATACGGAACAACTACTACGTGTTCAACCGACCCGTCAAAGAAACCACTGACGACGAAGAACAACGTAAAGCAGGAATTTCTAAGGGTTCTACTTTAGACTAAGATGATCTTTTGCCGAAGCTCGAATGCTGGCCCGGAAATGAAAACGTTGGAATATGAATAATCCATATCTTCCGATGGTTGTCATTGTCGCAGGTCACTGATGCCAATCTCCAGAGAAACGACTGTCTCATTTTACGCCCAGTGTCTTGCTGATTTTTCGTCTTTGCAAAGTCGATGTGCCTGAAATTATTTAATTTTCGGATAACGTCAATAGCTATTGGATAGACCATGGATGGATGAGTCGTTGCTGACGCACATTATCCATTTGTTACACACTAATTTCTGGAATGTCGTATCAGCGCAGCCGGAAAGAGTTGTAGCCATGAATACAGCCACGTCAAGCTACTCCGCGCTATATCGCTTGCCACTGGTATTGCTTTTGTTTAGGAATTTCAGAAACGGATGTCCAGAAAAATTTGTTTAACTTAGCTTCAGTTCATGAGAATCATGGAAACGAGGATTCAGGTTTTGCATAACATTTTTGGATGATTGTTGAATTGTTTCTGATAAGGAGAATTCTATATTATGCTGATTATAGTTATGTAGCTCAAGCGAATAAAATCCTTCTTCTGCGTGGGCTTATGAAACACATTTATTTTTGATATTATCGTTTCGATGGGCTTGCCGAGGCAGGAAGAATAGCTATCAATCAATTTAGATTGCTGTAGTAGTAAAACCTTCAGATATTTTATTCGGCTTGAAGAAGATAAAAAATTGATGTCTAAATAATCAGAGGCAATGCTATGGCACTGCACCTTTTCCTAGTTAATTCGGCGATCGAGATGAAGAAGAGCTTTGTTACTCTCATTTTCTTCTTCCGAGAGTTAGGTTAGGCGCTTTCTATATGTGCATGGTTGATTTTCCAAGCACCGGTCTTAAATTGACTTGAACATATCGTTCAACACGTCATTCGTCATATGAAAGTGGTAGCGCAGTACCGCCACTGTACAGATTTTGTTTAACGCATGAGTGCATAACGGAACGTACAGCAGAATTCTTCACCGTATGCCAATCGTCGGCCTCCTGAGTCCCGCTTTGATAGGTCATTCGTGAATCACTATACCATCTACAGCACGAACCACTCTACATCTATAGAAAACAGCATGTCACATATATAAACAACACAGATAATTCTTCATTTAGATGATTGACTAGTGAAAATGTTTCAGCCCGTATCTCATGGGACTTTTTCAAAACACAATAGCGAGCTGGCTTCGGAAATCTTTTTTGCCACTCGCAGGGTGTTCATCATGTCTGAGCCAGAATTCCTTCTGACCCATCCAATTGACCAAATTGTTTGCCTGTTTATAAATAAACAGTGTTTCGTGCCATATCTTTAAAAGCTATCGATGCGCGAATCGCATACACAGGATATCATCAATACCTTCCAATTGTATTATATCAGCGTAGAGTTATCATGAACCAGTCTGTCTGAAATAGCACAATATTCAACACTTTGCAGTTTTATAAATGTCCATCCAAACTGTGTTGCTGTTGATGGTATGTATGATTTTACCATGATCGACTTATCTCATCACGGAGTGTCACATGTTAGTGTGAGCTTCAGCAATGGCTGATCCGTAACTGCCAAATGTTGAGGCAGCTTCGCTAGGCAGACCATTTCGACAATAAAACATTTCCGGCATGTTACACTACATATGTTACCAGGCGTGACTCCAGATTTATTTAGGCAAGCCATATCTTTAAGACCAGCCATTATAACATATAAAAGTAGAAGTAGCCCTTGTCCTAAATCTGTACTGAATTTCGAAAGCGGACGATCTTTGCAAAGCCACACAGACGGATGCCAAAAATCAAATGGCTTGAATATATTAAAGACCTGGCAGCGTCGCGTTTTCAGTTTGGAGTAATTAGCCTTCCTGATCATTGGCTGGCAACGATCACATGAAAGGTTTCCCAAGGTTGCTGTCTCTGCTGCAAGAAATGGCTGTAAATGTATATCGTCGTTATTTATGCTCTTCGGCAGACGCTGCAGTGTTTTAAATTATGATTTTCACAGGATGGCGACTGGATGGCTATGAAAATGAATAAATGAAAATGTAATAAAAATCATAGCATTCTTAAGATTTTTTCCTTTTACTTTATCTGTTTGTTGATCATACTTAAACATTATTTTTTATTTTTTAAAAATTTCTTTCACTCTTCCATTTTATTTTAGGAAAACCTCCGTGAAGAATCCACATACTCACGTTCTTAGTATACCGACAGTCAGAAACTCGATGGGAGTAGAATCTTCATCTGCACAACGTGTTATAAGCAGCTGGTATGTTCCTGCTAATTTCTGTAAATGTGCGTGGGGTTGTGTGGTAGGGTTTCAACCGGTATTCTGAACGATTAGTGGTGACGTACGATACGGATTTACCGTTTCGAGGTGCAATAAGCTTTCTTTTCCCGTAACTTTAGAATGGCGCATTCACTACCAATCCGTTTCCAG